CCAACTCCAGGCAGAGGGTGCTGGTTCGGTTCCTCTGACCGACAGAAGCCCGTTAGGGTTTTGCAATCTTTTTGCAAAAGGTTCAGATGGGGATCCAAAACCGATCTAAAGAGAAGCCCAAGCGGAAAATAAAAAGTTTTGGTATTTCCCGGGCCTTAAAGAAGAAATTGTCTCAGATGGTGCCGATTCGCTCAATAAAGGAATATCATAATAACAAAGACATGTACTGCCCAAATTAGCCCCAATTCAATGATTCCAAGCCCCTTCATCCGTACAAAGCTGAAAACTTTGACTAGCTTCAGTTGTTCAATTATTAGGATTTCTCATTCAGCACCTTTTTTCCTTCCCAGGATCGCAGAAGTACCCAATTTGATATAGTACTGACCTTTTTCCGATGAATATCGGTTAAAAACCCTGAAGAATGAGGCTAAACGCAAAGAAAAACGCGGCGGAAAACGGAGCGCCCCCACCTCTCATGAGCGCATTTCTTAATATCTGACAGCCAGTGAGGACTTATGGCTGGGGAGGGGGAAGCTGCGCTGTTCCTGTGTATTTTGTGAAGCCTTTCACATGACTCCTTCCAGCCCAAGAATGAATCGAACAACTGCCAGTTTGGCTTTTTGAACCCCAAACACGGCCACTCTTTCTCCCTGCCATAATGCCTGATCCCGCCTAATTGGGGTACGTCCCGATTCTCCTTGGTCCATTTCGGCTACTTTCACTCTCTCTCTCTCTCTCTCTCTTATCCTGAAGCCATTTGTGGTGGGTGTGGGGTTGGTCGGGACACATTTAATCCCGACCAACTTGGAATTTCCATTTGGTTCGAGTCTCAAGCTCTGGACTGGATTGAGTTTGGTAATTTTGTTCGCTGGCTTGCTACCCACTAGCAATTGTTTTTTACCCCGAGATTTATGGCAGTCGTTACCGGCTTAGAGGAGGTCCCATTAAAACGGTCACGCCAACATTTGTCCAGTATCGGACCGATCGATTTTACATTTTGCACATTATAGCACTCAGCACATTACACTCTAGCTTTCAAGAAAGGCTAAAGTAAGATTTGCTGCCATGATGTCGAAAACGAAAATCACTATGTCGAAATTGTATTGCATAGCATCCAGGGGTTTTTCGGGAAATTAGCTTATGTAAACCTCGACATCAAGATTTTCGACCTTTTGAAAGTAACCCCTAAAATATGCCGAATTTATATTGCCGTTTTACTAGCCTTTTAGCGGGTAATCGGCTGCCGGATGTCTGATGTAGATAAAGCGCCACCCCAGGAAAACTTTCCTAACAACGCTGAAAAAGCCTCCACCAATTTCGCGAAAAAAAGAATCTAAATTGATGCGAAGACGCAAAATGTCTCCCCCATTTCGCATTTGGAAAAACAGCTCCACAATAGTCGGATGCGAGCGCGACTTTTCTACGGGCGTTTCCGAAAACCCTATATGGCAATTTCGGAGCGCCGACCTCTTTTTTCTTTTCCCTTTTTTCCCTTTCCCTGCCACAATTAAATAATTTCCTGTAATTGACGGCACTTCACGGCGTCCCCTTCTAGTCTATCAGCTTCAAACGGCGACACCAGTGGATGGTTGATCCGTCGTGGGTGCGTGGCGTGACGCACTGGATCGAAATCAGCCTCTGCCTCGTCACGCTCATCTTCAACCTATCCCTCATCTGTCTCATCCTCACGACAAAATCCAAGGTTTTACATGGATATAAGTAAGTAATCAAATGGATAAAAGTATACAAGTAAATTAATGCATGTAATGTTTGACACCCTTACGACATTCGATCTCTAGATATCTTCTACTCTTGTTCTCGCTATGTGAACTCGGCTTTTCCATTACGCATATGCTCATGGAACCGGTGAGTAACCGATATTTACAGGGTGTCCCAGAAAAGACCCCCCTCTAGCGGTCCGCAGTCGTGTCCGATTTTTAAGATTTAGGTGTCTATCGAAAAAGCTTCCTCAGGACGAGCTGAGGAGATATCTTCTTTCCGATTTTCGAAATTCCCGAATTTTTATAACATTTACTAACATTTTTGCGAAATTGGCTGAATTTTCGGTGCTTTTCCCATGCAATGTCTTTGAAAAAAATCCCATTTTTCAAAATTTTACATCTTTCCTGGCAGCCGAAGTTCGGCTTTTTGAAAGTTCGTGAAAACACAGATTGGATGGGACTGAAACCGATTAAATTGAGTTTTTGCACAACATTGTGTAGTTTATGCCCAAAAAAAACGATGAAAATCGGGTTAAAAATTTGCAAATTTTAAAAATCGGAGAAAAAATATCTCTTTAGCTCGTCGAGAGCTTTCGATAGATACCTTAATCGTAAAAATCGGACAGCGGTCCGCTACAGGGGGGTCTTTTTTCGGGACACCCTGTCAAGATTTTTTTGAGTATGGGTGAAAGTGAAAAAAACTAGCTATTCAGATCCTGCTCGTGATCGGCAACTGGGTCGTATTTTTCGGCTATGGCGCGATGGGAGCCCATCCTGCCGGACCACCGCTAATGTTTTTATGGATATCTTTTCTATCACAGGTTAGTTCTAACTTAGGGTCATTTTTCGCTCTATATATTCTCGAAATACTTTAATCTTTATTAACACTCACTTAAAATCAGTAAATTGGAGGTTTCCGATTATAACGATTCCTTCAGATTGTCCTTTGCCTCACCCTACACTTCGTCTATCGCTATGTAATGGTTGTCAAGTAAGGCTAATTCAAAGGTTCTTTTGCATTATAGGGGGGAGGTAAGTAAAAAAAGTAAGTAAGTAGTAAGTCTTTAAAGCCTACGTAAAACAATCGAAATTTTGACCAAAATTTAGAATTTTAAAAGTCAGAATTTTTTGGCAGTACAGTTTTAGTCAAAACACTACTGAAATACTGTTCAAAGCAAACTAGGGAATTTTAGAACGGAGTGGGCATTCTTGTTCAAATCATGGCATCTTCTTTTCCTGCTATTCTCGCTGTACGCCGGCTTCTCGCTGGCTCTTTTCGTGATTCCGGTTTTGTATTCCACCCCTGACAAACAGCTGGTACCCCAACTTGGTACGTTTGGTAACGAAATGGAATCCAGAAAATTGTTTTTAGTTGATTAACACAACTTTTCAGGCGAGCGCCTCGCCTCAATGGGGTTGTCGCAGCAGGACGTGACCGTACTTGGCGCGCCAATTAGCGTAAGTAATGGATAGTGTGCAGTTTACCTACCACCCAGCCGGCACTCGACTTTGTCCGATTGCCTGTTCATCTCTCTAGGTGTAAAGTATAACCAAAATGTTCGCCTTGCTCTGGCGAGTATTTTGGTATACTTTACACAACAGTAGATGAACAGGCGGCCGAGATACAAAAGTTGGGGGGGGCTTGGGGGCATGGCTCGTCAGGCCTTACTCAAAACGCACTTCTGGGGGCGAGAGGGCCCTCTCCCCACGGATAGTGGGTTAACCTCCCAGGCGAGCCTCCCACACCCCCCGGGTTCGGTCCCTGCGGCGCAAACTCCCCCATTTTGGTGATATTTGTTTTGCTTTTTGCTCCAACGTATCACCGAAGGTCTACTGTAACACAAAATAATATAATATTGGCGAAAAAGCCCCCAGAAAATAGCAAAAAGCGGTCAGAACCCGTTTTAACAAAGTGAATCCAAAAACAGTCGTAATTTTGCTCCATAATCAGCTTTCAGTGTTGCTATTACATTTTGTTTTGGCTTAGGAACGATAATAAGCACTCTGATGCGTTTATGTTAGCTAAATTGGGCTACAGATCACGAAGCTCCTGCTCCAAGCGTCCAAGTGCCCTACTATCTTAGCTATTTTCTTAATAGGGAGGTTTGGAATCCAGCTGTTTTTCGATTAATACTACACTAAATTGATATAGTTACCTAAAAAACCGCCAGACATGGCTCAAATCCTTCCGGCTGAGGTGCTAGCATCGAAACATTAGGATCGCCATCGGATAAGGGTTTTACTTTTCCAGAACTTCCGTTATTAATTCAAAAGCATGTATCGTAACTCCACCCAATCTTTTAGCGAGATTTGATCGTATTTTGATAACAACAGGGTGAAAAACTAGCCATAAACCAGCTGGGTCGAAAATTTCAGGAACTTTAGGGCTCCAAAATCTCCTTAATTTGGCGAGAACTCTTATTGCGACCCACACAGTTCGATAGAGAATTTTTTTCTCTACCAAGTTCCCACGCCTCCCGAAGGTTCCAAATCCTATACAAAAAGTTATTATAATAAAACGTAGAGTTTCTGAGTTTTTAATATGGGCGGCGCTGCCTCACAGAGCCCGGGAGGGTCATAGGCGCGCCCCGTATTAAAGTGTCTTTCGACGAGCCGTGGGGGGGGGGGGGGGGGGGCAACTGCACTTAAACCTAAGTAATGCTTCAGAAATTTTACACGCTTTTCAGAAAGCTACAATAGATGGCGATCGCGAGTACAACACCTTTTTCTTGGGCCTCGCCGCCACGGCGCTGGCCGTCAATGTTTAAGACGTTTGCGACGATTTTGTATTGCGGCACTGGGATTCACAAATTTTTAAAGGTACCAGAAATTTCTAACAAATTACATCGCATGGTCGAGGTAAGCAATTTTTTTTAGATGGCCGTAATTTCTGAAAGGACGCGCCCACAGCAGCGCCAATTGTTTAGAGCATTAGTGGTACAGGTAGGTGCGCCCCGAAATTTCATCTTGGCATCAACTTTAATTCCAGACCACCGTCCCAATGGTGTGCATTTTCATCCCAGCAATCGTTTTTGCGCTCGGCTCAGTGTTTGAGGTAAGCTAAAGGCTACGGTTTACTTTACCCCCCAGCCGGAAGTTTTTGGCTATAACTTTTTTATTTTACACCAGGGTTGAAAAGCCGCTACGCGGCTTTTCACCCCTGGCCTTCGCGCACGGGACTCTCAAAGTTTCGAGCGAACTTTGCATAATTCGAGCGAAGAGCGAGAGTGAACCCAAAAACGGTAAAAGCAACCGGCCGCTGGCGCGACAAAATTTGAAATGAGCCTCCTAGCGCCTCGTATGCAAATGAGGATATTTCCATATGTTTTAAAATAGCTAAAATAAGGTATAAATCGATATTTTATTAAAAATCTGATAAGCTTGCAGTAATCTACGCCCTCGACTACCCCTAAATACTTTTCGACTGGGTCCTAAAATTGATCCCCCTTCCCGATATCTTGGTAACCCGGTTTTTTCCGAGCCATTTATGCAAAATGCAAAGTGTCCACACACACACACACACACACACACACACACACACACACACACACACACACACACACACACACACACACACACACACACACACACACACATGAACTATTTTTTTATATATAGTAGGATTATTGTAGGCTCAAATTAAAACTCTTAGTATATTTTTCGACGCTCTATCGAATGGCGTTGCAAAAATCCCGACAAAATAAGCGAAAATACCGAAAACTTTGAGACCCTTCGGCTGTGGGGGGATAAAGTCACTCTTACCAAGCTAAATAACCCGAATCACTCTTGCTACAACGATTTTTAGATTGACGTAGGCGTTGCATATTTCCCGCTCTTCACCCTATTTGTGGTATTCCCGGTGAGAAACACGCGATAGTCAGGAAAAAAACCCCGGTTTAGGTGCTAGATCCGCTGATCATAGCCTACTTCATCACCGACTACAGACGCACATTGAAGGTTTCGCCTAATTCGTACACTATTCAAGAATTCTTAGGCGTTCGTCTCGCGCGTCACCCATGTATTTGACTATGAACAATCGGAGAGCTCCCTCCAGGACGAGCCGCTCAACGCGTCGCATGACAAAGGAGACTTTCCTGTGCCCCTGTGAATATCCTAACAATTGAAAGCCGTTTCCTGATACCCGAATGATCTCTTTAACTCGCCAAATACTCGCAATAGCTCCATAAAACTTTGTTACGGGATATACCATTAAATGTAATTGCTTAATATTAATAAACTCGAATTCCGACGATGTTGCTTGCAATGCAGCCATCCAGCCAACAAGGACTAGGATGTTTCCGCCAATTCAAAAGGGTCAAAAAAGTCAAAGTAAAAGTAAAAGTAAGTAAAAGGTCCTTTTTACCTATTCGAACGCAACACCTGTTCCTCCACAGTTTTTTTGAAGTCATCATAATTTTGTTATAACTACTGAAACGTCTAAATCCTTCTTCGATTCGAGGAAATCTTTTTTAGAGGTATTACAAGCATTTTCACCGCTGGCGGAAAAGTAATTCGCCCGCCGGGACAACTGCAAAACCTTGCAAACTTACAAAGAAAACCAGATAATTTTTGTTATGGAACTATATATTTTTTGGTTTTTTTAGTTTACTTTCCCTTCTTCCCGTCTCGCGTACTTTGGAGTGAACGTTGCCCTTCGTAATGCGCGGGAAGCCCGCCTTTTCGAAAGCGGCCCCATTTATCTCGATTTTCAAAAACGGAACTTTCCTCATTTCGACATTCGTAGCTTTTCGATTTGCGTTTTTTCTTCTCCCTTGATTTAAAATTATCATTGTAGATAGAACCAATTTTGAAAATAAGGTCTAGAATCCGTTCCGAGGCGCTACTATGGTACCGTACTAACGCATAGGCAATCCAATTTTTGGAAATTGCCGTTTTTGACTTTTCTATTTTGTTGCCGAAAATCTGTTAGCCGAGCCGTTACTTTGCGCGAATTTGGAATTCGATTTCCACATCCTTGTTTTTCTGTTCTTACTAGAAATCGTGATTGATCTCGACAATGTATTACGTTTAGATCCCAACCATGGAAAGCACTCCTCCGCAAACTGGTCACCCCATCGACCCCTCATTGCTCAAGACACCAACGAAGCCGGACGAAGCACTCATCAACAGCCGTAAATTCACCGGAATCACCCCCGAAATTCAGTCCGCGGTAAGGCGCTTGCGATTGAATCAAAACTGGGTTTTTAGGCTGTCGCCGAAGAGAAGAAGGAAAACATGGCCATAAGCGGTGAAAAGATTCCGGTGAGTGCGATCGCGGTTTCTCTTCAAAATTCTGTTTTAGTTGCCGAAACTCGAGACCCCAGAGGCCGTGCGCATGCGACGCGAGCAACAGGCGGAATTGGCCAAGATGCACATGAGCAGCCCGTCGGACAGCATGCTCAGCCCATGCACGTCAAAGGTGATTTTTTGGAAAAATCTTGCTTCAGCTATAGAGCGCCGGTATTTAGCCATTGATCGTCTTGAAATTTTGAAAAGAGGTGCATAGAGGGGTTCAAAATGTTCACCGAAACGTTCAGCCCGCTAGCTACAATAGTTTTCGAGTTATCGCAAAAATAAACGGTTTTTTTGGCGATTTTCGGTCTTTTTCTTAGTTTTTCTTTGAGCTTTGGTGTAGCTTAGCCTAGACTTAAGCTCAGGCTCAGCTTCTGGGCGGTGTGAAGTACCTTCGCTGTAGCTTAGCGTTTCATAGTTCACTGGTTTTTGGCTTTGGCTTAGCTCTGTTCAAGCTCGATTTAACTGAGCTTCGGCTTAGCTTGGCTTAGGAGTAAAGCATTGCGCGTGATCAGCCGCGAAAAACTGTTCATGTAGCCCAAAAATCACCTCAAAAAACTTGAATAGTTCCGAGCTCTCTGACATATACAACGTATTTTGTCTTCTGTATTTAAATTTTTGTCCTCTAAAAGTCTTTGATTGGAACGCAGCACACAAAATTAGCTCAGGGAGCTCGTTTTGAGGACGATCGGGCACCCATGGTAAGAAAATTTTTTTGAGGTGGCTGGGACCTTCAGACTGAACTAGCTCCCGTAAATTTACGTTTTTAACCGGAAATTCCTCGGAATACATGGCAAAAATTATGTCCGGCCTTTCTGATCCTAGGCAATTTTCCACCGAAGGAAATTCCGCTTCGAAATTGGCAGCCGAAAAATGTTGTGGAAACGGGATTTTCGCCGGAACTATAAAACTGCTGTCTGCTGTTTGCGGGATATCTGTGAACATTTTTAAATATCTGTGTGCACCTCTTTCCAAAATTTCAAGTCGATCAAACGCGAAATGGTGGACTGTCAGCGTGGCCTTTTTTATCGAGACACCCTGTAGAAGGTGTTTCTATTTTCTCTCAACATCTTTTCGCAAACTATCCATTTTCAGTTGTTCGGCAAAGAAGGACGTCGCAAAGCCGCCGGTCCAGCCGCACTCCTCCGCAAGAAGCAGCAAGGCGCCATCCCATTCAATATGGCCGACGAGGAATAAGCGTGCAGTGGCTCCCGTTGCTGCCCATCCGGATGCGTGCTTTGTGATTTCTGTGTTGATTCTATATCTTAATAGTGTATCCCCCGGTTTTTTTAATTCACTTATCATCCTCCACTGCTTTGTACCTGACTTGCTCGCAAATGCACACATTACACGTCACTAATGGTTGGAAAGATTTTGTCATAAAGATTTGTAGACGAACGATTTTTTCAAATTGATAGTTTGGGGGAAAGTGCATCAATTTTGCTCATGTGTCTTGAATTGCCACTTTGCATTGACGCTTGGTTTCAGGCACAGAACTAGCGAACCTCATTACATTTTTATACATATTTTACGGTCGGCCCTCACTAGTATCGACGATGGATAATGGGCTTTTTGCAGGTTGTTTACCAGACTGCTGCAATCATCTTTTCTAGTCCTACTATTCGCCGCCATCTTCGAGCTTTTAACGCTGATCCTTTTCGTCTACATGTTATATGCTGGCTATCAGATTTTGGTGGGCGTTTGGCTTTTTATTGCGTCTTCGGGAGAAAAATAGAATACGAATTTTAGAGGTCACGCCGGGATAAGGAAACCTGCACTGAAGACGGCCGAGCTCCCACGTGTTCTGACATGGAGCCGCCAGAATCTGAGGCTGAACCCGGTAGGACCTCTGGAAAGTAGCCTACAAAATGGCTTCAACGTCCAGCTGTAAATAATTTGGACTTTTCAGAGAATTGCGAACGCCATCGAAACGCCGGATGAGCCACGACTGCCCCTCAAAAAATCACCTTTAATAAATGTTTTGCAGCCTTTCCCATTCGCAGTTACTGTAGGAGAAGTGCACGTGACACGTATGCAACCATGCCGGGATTGAGGCGACGTCCGACCCGCTTGCTTTGCAAAAAAAAACAGTTGCGTGGCAGGGGTGACGCCGCGCGGCCCCATGGCCACTTGCATAAATTTGTAGGCGTCGCGTCTGGCCGTGGGGAGGTGCGGGATCCCCGTGGGAATCCCCCGTCGGGATTCCTGGTCTTCGCATCGATCCTCCACCACCAGCACCACCCCTACCGACAATTGCTTTTGTTTTTGGGGTGCGCGGCTTAAACTATTTTCGAGAATTCACCCATTTGGCTGGCGGACTCGGTCTTGGGGACAACCTAAAAAAATGTGACGTCGCATTTCGCATTCGCCAGGATTCGAGGACTGCTTAGCACTTTTCAACGTATGAGTCTTTGCCTGGAAATATATTTTTACAAAGGTTGTTTTGTCGCTACGTGCTTGTCATGGGCTCTATTTTCGCGTTTTTAGGGCTGTTCTCTTTTAAAAAGCGAAACCCCTTGACTACCAGAATAACCAGTTTTCTAAGCACCAGTTCTCCAACAGCAAGCCGTTCAAAAGTTCGTGGAGAAAGCGACGAAACAAGAGGAAAAGCCGTTGGGTTCGATGAAAGCGGCTCTGGCTGGGGCTGTGGCGAGGACAATGGGGGATCATTGCTCATGCTCGCCCGGCTAGAATTCAGCTTTTCGGCTGGGGGCCCTTTTCAAGTTTCTGCTGAAGATTTGGAGCACGTAACTCATGGCGTTGCCGTTAGATATTGTTAACATTTTTATTAAGGAGAGTTAGTTTAATAAAATCAGATTTTGTAGCTTTATTTTGCGGCTGGATACGGTTTTTAAAGGTAAAAAACTATTCGGGCGTAACTTTCTAATAATCCATAATATTTAAAAAAAGACTGGCTATTTGACCACGCCTTTGAATAAACCATTCAAATTCATTTAAAAGACCTTCCGCATGGCTTGGTACAGTTTTTTTCGACCCTGTTTTTTTTGACGTCATCTGAAAGAGCATGGTCGAATTAGTAGGGTGGCACTATTTTGAGATGTTAAAAAGTTTATTTTCCTAGTTACATTTGGCCCTAAAGTTGCAAACCTCAAAAAATTATCTCGGAAACTACTAGGCCGAATAGGCTCAAATTTTGTGACTAGGCCTAATTTGGGATGGGGATCATTTTTCTAATACATTGCGACGCACGAAAATGGCCGGAACATAGATATATTGCGTACTAAAAACAGTTTTTTGCAGATCATGAGACTAGCATAGAAAGATGCGCAATTTTTTTCTGCATCGATTGATGTATCGTTTATCAGTCGGCCAGACACCCATTTGCTCGAATATTCCATTTAGTGCGCTCAAAACACACCAAAAATGTACCCGAAAAATGCAGAACAAAAAAATGTTTGAATTTTGAAGCATGAAAACACATATATAACCCGAGCTGAAGCTATTGCAAAAAAGAGCAAAAAGAAATTCAGCTTTTTGGAGGGGGCCGGGATTGAACTGGCGGCAGCTCTGGATTGGCACGCCGACGCTCTACTCACTGCGCCACAGGGCTCCCAGGCACACGACCCGGGTTCGATTCCTGCCGGAATTCAGACCCCCTTTTAAAAATGGTATTTCTTTTTGCTCTTTTTTGCAATAGCTTCAGCTCGTCTTGTAGATGAGTTTTCATGCTTCAAAATTCAAAAATTTTTTGTTATGCATTTTTCGGGTACATTTTTGGTGCGTTTTGAGCGCACTAAATGGAATATTCGAGCAAATGGGTGTCTGGCCGACTGATAAACGATACATCAATCG